AACAACAAAAAACTACCACAAAAAATTCCAAACATATATAACACTAGAAAGCACAATCAAGCCCCATAAGCCTGGCTCCAACAATAAATCCATGTTTTATTATACTTCTTTCATTGACTACATCCCCTCAATTTTTGGCTAGATTATTGTTTTTTTTTTTTTTTGAGACGGAGTGTCGCTCAGTCGCCCAGGCTGGAGTGCAGTGGCCGGATATCAGCTCACTGCAAGCTCCACCTCCCAGGTTCATGCCATTCTCCTGCCTCAGCCTCCCAAGTAGCTGGGACTACAGGCACTCGCTTCCACGCCCGGCTAATTTTTTGCATTTTTAGTAGAGACGGGGTTTCACCGTGTTAGCCAGGATGGTCTTGATCTCCTGACCTCGTGATCCACCCGCCTTGGCCTCCCAAAGTGCTGGGATTACAGGCGTGAGCCACTGCGCCCGGCCTGGCTAGATTATTGTAAGGCAGATCCCAGACATCATGCCACTTTCCTCTTTAATACAGAAGTCTACAATTCTTTAAAAAAGTTGGGGAGGGATGGTTTTCTTATATAGTCACAACACCACTGTAATGTAAATAAAATTAACAATTGTTTTGTAGTATTGTTTCGTAATCACACAAGACTCAAATTTCCCCAATTGTGGAAGCAAGACTCACTCATTGATCCATTTTTGTAGCAGGAAAACAAGGCTCACTCATTGAATTTGGTTATCTCCCTTAAATCTCTGTCTCTTTTAATGTAGAATAATCCCTCCCTTTTGTTAAGTCACAATTTTGAATTTTAGTAGAAACAGAAATGTAAAATTTAAATTTAAAAATTTAGAAAAACAAATTTAAGAAACAACAAAAAAACTGCTGTGAAACCTTAACTAAATTAGGATTATAATTTGAAGTACACATACATAGAATTAGAGTTACAATGATAACTTTAATTGTAAATGTACTAGTAGGCATATAAGTATATAAAGCATAACATCTTATTACATTTTATGAGGAATTTCAAATGGTATGAGCAACCTCTTGTCACTTTAGGAAGATCTTTTGGAAAATACAACTCAAGAAGGTCCCCACGTATACACTGTATTAGGTAGAAATCAGAATTATTTCTCTGATAATTTGAATTTTTAATGAAATTTATAGCTTACACTATGATATTAAAAGTGTTACCTCACTCTTTCCCAAAAAGCAGAGCAGTATAATAATTAAATTCATTTGTTCTTAATGTGAATGTGAACAGAACTTAATGAAAGAGTGAAAGACTACTAAAATATTCTGTTTTTAAGTTGTACTACTGGGGATAAGGAAGAAGCATCAACAAGTACCGAAGAAAGGCATTCATAATTTAGAAAGTCTAAAATCCTAGAATCCGCAAAAATTATAAGAAATTTTAGATACCTTAAACAGTTACTTGAGAAACTTTTATTTTATTGATAAAATCAGTACTTCATTTCCTACAGTCAACAGGAGAAAATGTTTTCTGCCTTGTCCTCTGAACTCAGGAAATTTATTATTTCAGAAGAATGCACAAAACCGTCATTTTTGAAGTAATGTACTCTCCTCTTTTAATTCCATCGGCATCTGATGAGAGACTTCACTTTCTAACCAAAATATTTACTGTTCTCAACCTAGAATACGAACCTAAAAAGCAAAGGCAAGGCACTGATGGTCTGCACTGGCATTTTGACAAATGTCTGAACTCAGCTATCTTATACACTGACAGGAAGTGTAGTAAGCGTGAAGGCCAGATAGAAAAATTAAGCAAAGTTCCATCTCTACGTCATCTCCTAACAAACTTATCTGACGTTTTCTCTGATTAAAAAGGGCAGTATATTATGTATTTACCCTTTGTCTTAGCATCCACAATTTATGAATCTATTCCAAAGATACACTTAATAGAAAAAGACTTATGGGCCAAACTAATTAATGCCGCATGCTTGTGACAGCAGAAGATTGAAAACAATCTACATGATCATTAATAAGGGACAGGCCAAATAAATAAAGGTGCATTTGCACCATGGTGCACAATGCAGCTATAAAAAAAAGATGAATATTTCTCTACATTGCTTTAAGATGATATCTAGAATATGTTGTCAAATTTAAAAATCAGAGTACAGGAAAGTGTAATAGTATACAACCATTTACCTAAGGCGGTAAATACAAACATATTTGTAAATACAAATAAGATGTTCACTAAAAGGATGACTTATTGGGAGAAGTAACAGGACAAGGGAAATGGAAGTCAGCCTGTTCTGAATGTACCTTATTTTGTAGATTTGATTTAGAAACATGTAAATGTTCTATAAAAGTATAAAACAAATTAAATTAAATACAAACATTTTTCAAAAAACTGAAAACAAATGAAACAAATTAACCTGTGTAGTGAATTAGTGGCATTATCATATGAAGACGAGTTATTTCACGTCATTTTAAAACAATAATTTGGGCTGGGTGTGGTGGCTGACACCTGCAATACCAGTCCATTAATACGAATACATTGGTGGTAGAGGCAGAAGGATCACTTGAGCCCAGGAGTTCCAGGTGAGCCTGGGCCACATAGTAAGACTTCATTTCTACTTAAAAAAAGATAAACTCGCCAGGCATGGTGGTGCACACCTGTAGCAGCTACTTGGGAGGCTAAGGTGGGAGGATTGTTTGAGCCCAGGAGTTCGAGGTTACAGTTAGCTATGATTATGCCATTGCACTTCAGCCTGGGTGACAGAGCGGGGCCCTGTCTCAAAACACAAAAACAAAAATGAAAACAATAATTTGATTATATATGCCTAATGGGATATAACCTAAGGACAAAAAGAACTATAAAAGATATTTTGGACTGCTTTCAATAATCATAATATTCACATTGTTATTATTTACAGTTACATAGTTTTTATTATATAGTATACATTACGGAGTTTAAAAACCATTGTGTGACTGTGTGTGTGCATGTGTGTTAAAGAAAATAAGGAATTATGTTAATGCTGTTAGAAATCAAGATTTTTAGCATAAGAAAAAAGATACAAATATAAAATCAAAGAAGTTATGCAAATTTGTAATCTTAAATCTGAATTGAAAATATTAGTATGAACTCCTGGTTCTATGCACTGAAAAGGCCTCTATGTTCCATCTGAGTTCATAATCAATACACTGATCATTCTGGGGAGCTCCAAGGTAATCAGTCCACTATTCTGAAAACTGTTAAAAAAAAAAGATACCAAGCATTTAACATGCCTTTCCTACATGGGTTGTATCTTCCAGTAACCAAATAGTTGATCCTAAGAACTTTTTCTTTGGAGAAATTTCCCGGATTATAAAATGAGAAGGAGTAGAATCATATTATCACTGTTTGGATAATCTCTGGTGAAATAATGGATCTAGGCAATAATCATCAATGGACAAAAACATCACCAAAAGAGAGACAGCCAGGTATGAATTATAATCTGCCTAACAGAAGTACATAAAACCACCTAGGAAGTTTTCTTGCAAGCCAAAGAAACAAATACCAAAGGGGGGAAATAAAAACCTTCACTCAGATCAAGCCCCTAGCTCTAACTGTCAGTTTATAGTAAATTCAGGAGAAAGAGAAACATGTTAAACAACACCATGAAATAAAATCAGCAAAATCCAGAACATAGAGGGCCGTATGAGTTAAATGACCTAGTTTTTTCCAACAAATAAATTGTAAGGAAAAAAAGATGTATCAGGGTCTATAGATTAATCTCAGTGGCATATCAACCAAATGTAATGTGTCCATGTTGTTTGAACCCTGATTTGAACAAGTTTACATAAGAAAATTTTTTAAGACAATCAGAGGAATGCTGATTGAATATCTGAACATAATGAAGAATTATTAATTCTTTTTTTGTGTGTGAGTATGGTAGTGTACTTATGTTAAAGAAAAAGAGTCCTTATTCTTTAGGGATACATATGTATATATTTAGCATGGGGAGTGTGTGTATGTTGGGATGTGGGGCGTAGAGTGAGTGGGAATATTCACCCAACATGATTGGCTATGAGTTGGCAATTGTTGAAGCTGGATGATGGGCATGGGGATATTTGTTACATTATTTTTTGTTCATGCTTGAAATTTTTCGTAATAAAAATTATTTTTGAAAAAAGTCTTCGACTCTGGAACCTGGGCTTAATCTTAGCTCTCTCACTGCTGTGACTTGATCATATTTCCTAGTCTCTCTATGCCTGAGTTTCTTTACCTACAAAATAAGTTAAATGTGCCTAACACATGAAAAGCATGTTAAAGGATGAGTTACTGTTATTATTAACATTTACTGGATGCTTCCTAGGAATGGACTCTAGCATATGCATTCTCAAAGAGATTCTCATCTCATTTTCCCGATAGTCTTATGATGTTGGTATTATTACTCCCACTTTTAGATTAAAAAATTAAGGCTAAGAAGTAAAATAACACTTCCCACATCACAATAATTAAGTGGTAGAATAAGAATTCAAAACTAGGTCTTTTGCCTTCAAATTCAAAGCTCTTTCCACTATGCCTCTTTGTTCTTTTTTTTTTTCGAGACGGAGTCTTGCCCTGTCGCCCAGGCTAGAGTGCAATGGTGCAATCTCAGCTCAGTGCAACCTCTGCCTCCCGGGTTCGAGCGATTCCCCCTGCCTTAGCCTCCTGAGTAGCTGGGATTACAGGTGCCCGCCACCACACCCAGCTAATTTTTGTATTTTTAGTAGAGATAGATTTCGCCATAATGGCCAGGCTGGTCTCCAACTCCTGAGCTCAGCTGATCTGCCTGCCTTGGCCTCCCAAAGTGCTGGGATGTTCTTTTAGATTAATCTGAAAGAGTCTTATTTTCTAGAGCACGATGCAAACTAATATTCACATGTAATATATGCGTATGTACATTTTTAAAACTAAACCAACATATCACATAAGGATAATGAAACCGACAAAACAATATCTTATAAACAGGAGATTTTAAAACATTGCAATTATTAGTTACAGGTCTCATACACGTTGCTGCAATATACAGAACATACCTCTGTAATACTCTGAGCAGTTTCCTACTTTTGATGGGGTATTTCTTCTGAAGGTTGAGAAATGTCACATGAGTCCCCTTATCTATGAGGCTACTAAATGCAGTATGATTTTCAGGCAGTTGCAGCAGAGAACGCCAAATGAACATTCTGAAATAAAAATATATTTTAACCCCCCAAATTGTTTTTGAGTAAAATTGATGTAACATACAGAATTTAAATGGTACCTGTATTTTGTTGGATATTCACCGTAGCCTTTTAATAAGATTTGTAAACGCTTTTTGTTCAATCCATCTGGTAACTCGTTCTATAAAGAAAAAGATAGTATTAATAAATGACATGATCATTAAAACTGAAAAGGTGACAAATGGTAATCTAGTCCACAGCACTTTCCAACTTTAGAAAACAACACATAGTAAGACATATTTGTGTATTAGAGGTCTTTTCCCCACTCCCCTCTCTCCCTCTCTTGAGCATGCATACATACAGCCAATAAAGTTCATGATATAGTACCTTCCCTAAACGAGCTCAACAAACTTTTTCTGTAAAGGGCCATGATGTGGTTTGGCTCTGTGTCCCCACCCAAATCCCAAATCTCATCTTAAATTATAATCCCCACAATCCCATGCGTTGAAGGAGGGATCTGGAGGGAGGTGACTGGATCGTGGGGGTAGTTCCCCCATGCTGTTCTCGTGATAGTGAGTTCTCACAAGATCTGATGGTTCTGTAAGTGTTTGACAGTCCCTCCTCCACATATTCCTCTCTCTCCTCCTGCTGCCTTGTGAAGAAGGTGTCCGCTTCCCCTTCAGCTTCTGCCATGGTTGTCAGTTTCCAGAGGCCTCCACAGCCATGTGGAACTGTGAGTCAATTAATCCTCCTTTCTTTATAAACTGCCCAGTCTCAGGTAGTATTCTTTATAGCAGTGTGAAAATGGACTAATAAAGGCCAGTTAGTAAATATCTTAGGTTTTGTGGGCCAAGAAGAAAAATCAAGATCATATATTTATATACAACCACTTAAAAATGCACAAAGCATTCTTAGCTTGAATAGCTGAATTAGGCCCATGGGCTGTCACCTGCTGACCCCTGCATCAAGAGCAATCCATTCTGACAGCTCCTCCCCATCTCTCTTTCCTTGAAATTCTAGGCAATTCCTAACATTGAAGCATCAAAGAAAAGTCTGGCAGAAAAACATGCGGGAGTACATCATTTTATCCCAACAGACATCAGCTCCTGCTGATAGTCCCTTATATCTAAGACTTTTAAGTCAATTTTTATCTTAATAAAAAATATTGTATAGAATTTAGGATTATAAAGCTGTTTTCATATATTATCTCAACTGGATCTAACAACTCTATAAAACAGATGAAATGTCTTCCTTTACTTGAGAAATGGGAACATCAGAGAAGTTTGGTAAATTGCTTATGGTCACAAATCTGCTAAATCTTGGCTCAAGACTCGAAGCCAGACTTTCTGATTGTGTTTAGTGCTCTTTTTACCATAAGAAACAGGTAGTCCAATGTAAGAGAAGGGTGAAGGGAAAACCCAAGATGATGGTGAATGAAGATACTTGAGGGCCATGTTAAAGGTATAGAAGGCAACTAGAGCAAATGAGAGCAGTATGATCCAGGAAGACTGCCTTCGTCATCAAGATACCTGCTGCCACTGAAGCCTCTTTTTAAACAAAGGAAAATGTGCCCTGGATAGTTTGGCCTCAATTTGATCTGTTCTTGACCATGAGCTGATAAAGTTCCTTCTTTCCTTTCCAGGTGCTAATGCAAAGATTAGCTGAGGACTTGCACTTCACCCCATTGAAGTGTTCTACTTTGACCTACTTCTTAGAGCTGGCAATGGTTTCCTCAGAAGCAGCTCTATTCCTCAACATATTTCTGCAGGATATACAGATTTGATCCACACTACAATGCTGCCAGATACCCGGACATGATGAGCCTTTTAATACCCGAAGTTACTCATGACCATTCCCACCAGTTTTCCCAGAAAAGGTCCTGCAAACTCTGAAGCCAGAATATCTCAGAGATACCATTCAGCTTATCTTTGCAATAAAGCATTCATTAAATAGGAGCAATATTGCCCAATCTTTACACAACTAGGCTAGGCTTGTGTCTGCTATTCAGTTTTTTCCTTTAAAGAAATAATCTTTTGTATAAAGTTACATGAAGAGGTTATAAAACTATAAAGAAAATCAAGGGCATAATTAACACAAAAGCAAGGACAATGGTTATATATATGGGGCAGGGAGAAAATTGTGATGGGGGATAAGCACACAGGGGGCTCCAAAGCTACTGGTAATGCTCTATTTCTTCATGTAGAAATGGGTATGTGCAGAAAAAAGTGAACACAAGCCGGTCTGAGCCTGCTACCCTTAGAAGACTTACTTGCAAGGTTGGCCTTTGACTGGTGTCTAGAAGATGAATTTCAGGAGAGTTCTCACTACCCCTAGAACCAATAAAGAGTGGCTCATTGTGTTTAAACTGTTTGTACAATGTGGTTTATGCTGAATGCCTGCCTTCCTTCTGGGAGTCTGAAATGTGAAACCTGTTAAAACAGGGTACCTATAGAACCAGCCTCTAGTCAAAGTCCTGGGCACCAGGTCTCTAATAAATTTCCCTGGTAAACAATACTTCACACGTATTGCCACACTTCATTGATGGAGGAATCAAGGATGTCCTGTGATTCCAGTAGGAGAAGATTTCTGGAAGCTTGTGCCCAGTTTCTCCTGGACTTCATCCCATGTGTCTTTTCCCTTTGCTGATTTTGCAAAGCAAAATCACTTTCATATATTATAGTTATGAATATGACAACATGCTGAGTCCTAATAAACTACCAAACCTAAGGATGGTCTTGCAGGCACCTGACACAGGATACATACGTAATCTTTTTTTACTTTTCATTAAGCTGTAATCTGTTTTAGATATTCTTCTGTGTTGCAAGTTTTATAATTAAAAAATGCTTAAAGAGAAAAGAAGTTACAGCAGTCCCTACTTATTTGAGGAGGAAATGTTCCAAGATCCCTAGTGGATGCCTGAAACCTCAGTTAAGTAGCTATTCTGGGGTGGGCGGGGGTAAGGGAGAGAGAGCATGGAATGGAGCAAGAAGCTGATGGTAATATTCCAGTTTTTGATCTGGGTGCTGGTAACATAGTGTGTGCATTTTGTGAAAGTTCACTGAGCTGTATACTTAATGTGTACTTTGTATATGTGTGTGTATATATTTGTCATTAAAAAGTTTTAAAATCCCTTGAAAATCATGTAACATCTCTATTAATAGCTATATTTTCTTTATTTCTCAAACTAATATGGCTGGGTGTGGCAGCTCATGCCTGTAATCACAGCACTTTGAGAGGCCAAGGTGGGAGGATCACTTGAGGCCAGGATTGAGACCAGCCTGTACATAATTTCAGTTACAACTTTATTCTCTTCATTTATTCTCTTTCTTTAATTCCCAAGAGAGGGAAGAGTGGTGATGGCTTAGGAATCACAAGACCTGTCTACAGCAGAGCCATGACAAACAAAGTTTAATTACCAAATATTCTTACCTTTTTACTTTCAAAATCACCAGTCAGGTCTTGTTTTAATATTCTCGTTTGTGTTTTGCTTCCCCTGGGTTTTGCTGGCTGCTGTACTCTTCCTGATGTTACTTTCATCTTAAGATCACTGGAACTCAGTTTTTTCTTGGGCAAATCTTCAATAACTTTCACTAAAGGCAGAGGTGGCTAAATGGAAAAATAAATATATGTATTCTAGTGGATATCCTTGGAAGATAGGCCTGTTAATATATGATTTTCAAAGTTTGCTTTAATAACATGCCTTAATATGTAGAATTATTCTTCAGGCAAAAAACCTAAGTAAAATGTCTAGGAACGTTTGCTTTGACTAATAAAGCAAATTTATGCTGAATCCTTTTGAAGAACATAATAAAGATATATGATTAACAATAGCAATAAATATAATTATTCCTTGAAAGCTGGCCTTAAATCATTTGATACCAAATCATGTTTACACATACATGGTGAAGTTAGTATGGTGATTATTACCTACAGCAAAAAAGGTACAGTTAGAGGTATGGCCCTCTAGATTCTGACAGAAATACCCTAATATTCTTTGGGGTCAAGTGAAATTTCTAAGAGGAAACTGCCAAATGATTTTCTTCTAGAAGCATGGAACCTCTGCCTCTCTATCCCTTGGTTAAATGTTTTAATCTGCTTAGCGATCACTATTAGTTCCTTATTGTATCAACAGCTTAAGCAGTTCAGACAATGTGACCTAGAACCTATACCTTCATTTTTATGGGGCCCATCAGACAGGGAAAAAAACCTGAACAACTTCAATTTACTTAAAGTAACATTACTCACTAGAACATTTTCTCCATAAATAATATTCTCTTTGAAATCAAAAGATCTTCCTTCTTCAAAGGAAGTGAGGAAATAAGGTAACTCAGGCTTTCTAAGTTCTAAATACAATTCAAACACAATGACCATTTACAGTTTGATTCAATTCTTCAATTCATCTATGGGATGGGATTAATAGTGGTCTGACTTATGAATATTACCCATCTTTAATATCCTTAAACTGTTTTTTGACTTGAATCCATTCTTCTACATTTTTATTAAAATTTCCATTGTAATGTCACAATTTCCCCTGTTTGGGCCTTTATCTTCTACCATGAAGTATAACCTCCCAAAAAGAACCTGAGATATGACCTGACTTGACATGCCTTTGTAGTGTTAAACCTTCAACACGTAAGAATTCATTTACTCTATTACCACAATACCAGAAATTTTCCAATGACAAGAAAATAAAGCTGGCAAAAATGGGACAAAGGTGAGTTATGATTTACAGAGAATATAGAGCTGAACATTAATGTAGCCTGGAACAGCCATAAAGACACTGATGGTACTGGGAATGTGTCCAAAAAATAAAAAAGATCATTCTACTTCTAAGCTAGCTTTTCTATTCATGTGATCTCAATTTGCTCAACAGACAACAAGCAGAAAGGAACTCAATGACTCACTCTTACCATAGTTTTTCTCAGATCTCTGCCTGCCTCTATTAAGAAGGTTTGGCAAGGCCGGACGCAGTGGCTCATGCCTGTAATCCCAGCACTTTGGGAGGCCAAGGTAGGTGGATCACCGAGGTTAGGAGTTCAAGACCAGTCTGGACAACATGGTGAAACCCCATCTCTACTAAAAATACAAAAATTAGCCAGGTATGGTGGCACGTGCCTGTAATCCCAGCTACTAGGGAAGCTGAGGCAGGAGAATTGTTTGAACCTGCGAGGTGGAGGCTGCGGTGAGCCGAGATCATACCACTGCACTCCAGTCTGGGTGACAGAGTGAGACTGCATCTCAAAAAAAAAAAATAAAAGAAGAAGGTTTAGCTAGTACTGTAAAACTGACTATTCAGAGGCTGAAAACTCTCTTAGTAAGAGCAGATAGTAATACATTTTTAAAAATTTATTAATATATAGCACATATTATAATGTAAAAATATATTTATATAGTATATATAATGATATAAAGGGCAAAAGAGCAGCAGAGTATAATCCCATATGTTTAGAGACAAGTATGCATACACACACGTGCGCGCACACACACACAAACATATACGTATAGTTAATTCTCACTATTTGCAGTGGTTCTATAAAGTCACCATGAACACTCAATTAGTGAATACTGAAATACTGCTCCTAGGGGAAACACAGAGTCAGGTTCCCGAGCGCCTCATTAATCAATCAATACATACATGTGTGTTTCTGTTTAAAGACATCTTATTTAATACATATTGCTGATTCCTTATCATTGAACTCACAGTTAATAGCACTTACCTCATTTCTGAATGAGTTTATCTAACATACGTATTTTCTGTATAAGGGAAGCCACAGCCTGTGTTTAGAAACAATAAATGGCGCTTCAGCGCTATGCTTGGGGACCACTTTAAACAGTAAAATCTTAACAAAAAGCTTCAAAATGCAAAAAAAAAATAAACGGTATTAAGCAGACCACAAAAAGGATACTTGTTTACACTATGAGAGCTGAAATAAGAAGACAGAGTGTTGCCTCGTTTGACTTCAGCTGGGAACAAGGGTATCTGGTGACTCAAATTTTCACTGCTCTGTGCATGTCCCTGAATGACCATGAAAGCACTGCAAGTATTAATTCTGAAGTTACAAATCAATTTTAGTGAGTAGGTGAATTCTCATGTATAGAATGCACAAATAATGAGGAGTGACTGTATATCTTTACATACATAGAAAAGAAATTGGGAACGTGTAAATCAGAATCATCTGAGAATGGTGAGATTTTCAGTGATTTGTATTTGTCTATTTGCTATTCTGTATATTCTTAATTTTTTCTGCAACAAGACACTGCTTGCATAATTTTTTAAAAGATAAAGAAAACAAAAAGGAGGAGGCACAAACTTTTTCTAGAATAAAAAAAGGTGGCAAATGCTACTCCAAATGTACCCAATCTCATGTGATCTTGGAAGAACTGGAACACCCAGAACTGCTAGTTATTAGCTGCGTGATTAAGTTTGAGCATGAACTTTTTCCTGTGTAAAATGAAAAGGTTAGACCAGGTGATCATCAAAGTCTCTGTTAGAGTTACCAAGGTGCAATTCCAGACTGGAAGACACACGGACAACATGACTGATTAGCTGGGGGAATTTTAGATAACCAGAGAAGAGAAGAGAGGCGTGCATTTTAGTGAAATGGATGCTGTGGATAATACATTCAGAAATAAGGATGGTGTCTATGGGGATAATGAGGGAAGTTGTAAGTTTGAGGAAATAAGTTAGACAGGTAGACAAGATTGGAGAGAACACTGAGAGCCTGGCAGAAGAGTCTGGACTTAATTCAACAGGTGAAGGAAGGAAGCCGCTAAAATAGCATTAGTTAAAAAATGATGATGAATTATTTTAGAAGATGGTAGGATGGGCAGGGCAGGCACTGAGGGCTCTGAGTTTAAGATATTTCTTTAAATTTCCGTTAGTCTAGAGTAGTTAATGAAGACCAATACAAGGATAGCAATTACAGAGGTGGAGAACAGGCAACACATTTATAGATATTTCAAATTTAAGAAGTTGGGCCGGGTGCGGAGGCTCACGCCTGTAATTCCAGTACTTTGGGAGGCCAACGTGGGCAGATCATGAGGTCAGGAGTTCGAGATCAGCCTGACCAACATGGTGAAACCCCATACCTACTAAAAATACAAAAATTAGCTGGGCATGGTAGCGCACGCCTGTAATTCCAGCTACACAGGAGGCTGAGGCAGGAGAATCGCTTGAACCCGGGAGGCAGAGGTTGCAGTGAGCCGAGATCGTACCATTGCACTCCAGCCTGGGCAACAAGAGCAAAACTCCATCTCAAAAAAAAAAAAAAAAACAAGTTATATGACTTAGTATTGACTGGATTTAGAAAATAAAGGCATAGGAAGTTATAGAGCTTCAAGATTTCTAGCTTATGAGATGGGAAGAAAACATGAGACAGAACTGAAGAAACTAGGATTGAAGAACTCTTTTGGGAAGAAGATAATGAGTAACACCTAAATGAGAGACATCAAACGGAGATGTCCCTCAGGAAGGCAACAATTTAAGAATAGAGCATATGTGAGAAATCAAGGTCAGAGAGGTAGCTTTGGGAGTAAGAACAACAACATATATCCAGAAAAATGGATAAGTTCCAGGTAAGTGAGAAACAGCAGCATAAAGATGTTACTCTTGATGATATAATAGGTAAGTGGTTATAAAAAGCTGATGTTGATTACTTGATCATACATACCTTATTTATTTCTTGTGTTAAAGCCTGAACTGAATATATGTTTAGACTTCCATTTTCCATAATAGATGCAATGTACCGTCCATGTGGGCTAATTACTGATGAGCTAATTCCTTCATCAAGGCTCCCAATCTCAAAGAGAAGTTTACAAGTCTGTATATTGATAAATCTCATAATACCATCTTGACTTAGTACTCCAAGAACCTAAGAGTAGAGAGAAAAAATATAAACTCCTAAAAACATGTGACAGTGAATGTCTGAAAGTCATACTATATACATGTCTTTACATGTATGCAATGTTTGTGTATGTACGTGTGTGTGTATATAAATATATTTTGAGGGGGACACCTAGAGGAAATTCTACTCTCAGCGAGATATTATGTTTTATTTTATTATTATTATTATTGTTTTAAGACAGAGTTTCACTCTTGTTGCTCAGGCTAGAGTACAGTGGCACAATCTCCACTCACTGCAACCTCTGCCCTCTGGGTTTGAGCAATTCTCCAGCCTCAGCCTCCCAAGTAGCTGGGATTACAGGCATGCACCACCATGCCTGGCTGATTTTTGTATTTTTAGTAGGGATGGGGTTTCACCATGTTGGCCAGGCTGCTCTCAAACTCCTGATGTCAGGTGATCTGCCTGCCTTGGCCTCTCAAAGTGCTGGGATTACAGGCATGAGCCACTGTGCCAGACCTGATATTACATATTTTAAAATCATAACTTATGGCTCATGTTGATTATGCCCTGGATCTAATCAGAATCAGCAAGGAACCTATCATCGTGGACTATGGAAAGGTGCCCTAAGAATCTTCCCTTGCCACAGGCAGATCATGCAGGGGACAGAGAGGATTAGACAATGATATAATTTGAATGTGTCTCTCCAACAGCAAGTATTGGAAACTTGCTCAATGCAACAGTGTTGGCAGATAGGGCCTAATGAGAGGTGACTAGGGCATGAGGGCTCTGCCCTCATGAAAAGATTAATGCTGTTATTATGGGAGTGGGTTTGGTATAAAAGGATGAGTTCGCCTCCCTCTTGTCCCCTCCCATTCCTCCCTCCCTTTCTCACCCATATGAGGCCTTCTACTATACTATGACAGAGAACAAAGGCCTTCAAAAGATGCCAACCTCTAGATCTTGAACTTCCCAGCCTCCAGAACTGTGAGAAATAAACTTATGTTGTCTATAAATTACCCAGTCTGTGGTATTCCAATACAGCAGCACAAAACAGACTAAGACAGACAGTTCCTAACTTTTGCCTCCACACTGGCTATCAGGAACAAGGAGGGTGGAGGGTTTGCCTTCCTGTACCCTTTCCATAGCTAATAGAAGCGAACACCAGCCCTGCTGCCCACACACAAGCCTGTCACTGCCACTGAGGCTCCCCAGTGTCTACCTGTTTTCAGCAAATATTTTAAGTAACATCTGGAGAACGGAGAGTTTGTGAGTTGCAAGGGTAGTGGAGGGGTAGGAGGGAAGCTAGTCTTTTAAGGGGGGAGAAAAGTTTAAATTTTAACTCATAATTTCAAAAATTAAAAACATGTAATAAAGGCCGGGTGCGGTGGCTCACGCCTGTAATCCCAGCACTTTGGGAGGCGGAGGAGGGAGGATCACGAGGTCAGGAGATTGAGACCATCCTGGCTAACATGGTGAAACCCCGTCTAAACTAAATACAAAAACTTAGCCAGGTATGGTGGCGGATGCCTGTAGTCGCAGCTACTCAGGAGGTTGAGGCAGGAGAATGGCATGAACCCGGGAGGCGGAGCTTGCAGGGAGCCGAGATCGCGCCCCTGCACTCCAGCCTGAGCAACAGAGTGAGACTCCATCTCAAAAAAACAAAAAATAAAACAAAACAAAAAAAACATGTAATAAAAAAGTTGAAGCAAATAAACCCCCATGCTGCCTTGTCTAAGCTCAGGTTCTCTTCCCAGTGGCAGTGGCTGGTAGGTGATGCCACCATGTGATTGCTTGAAATGCTGATGTCATTAATCATACAAAAGACTGTAAAAGGCAGTTTGGAGGTGATAGCCCATAAAGGCCTCCTGTTGGCTGGCTTGCAGGAAGCAAAGCCCCTCATCTGCGGTTGATGCAACTCCTCTGGAAGTCAACTGGGCAAGATCTACCCAAATGACAGATGCACATAACCTTTATGCCACTATTTCAACTCTGGGATTTTATCCTACAAAGAGGATGTGTCAAATGACACTTGTAAAAAGTTATTCAGTGAGCATGATTTGTCACAGAAAATGACTAAAAATAGGTTAAGTGCCAATACAAGACTGGTTTAAAAAATAAACTGCATAGTGTTGCAGTTGTAAAAAAGAAAGAAGTTCTGCACTGATATAGAACAATTTCCAACTTAAGAATAAAAGGCAGACTGGGCGCAGTGGCTCACGCCTATAATCCCAGCACTTTGGGAGGCTGAGGCAGGTGGATCACTTGAGGTCAGGAGTTTGAGACCAGACTGGCCAATATGGGAAACCCCATCTCTACTAAACATACAAAAATTAGCTGGGCATGGTGGTTCATGCCTGTAGTCCCAGCTTCTTGGGAGGCTGAGGCAGGAGAACCACTTGAGCCTGGGAGGCGGAGGTTGCAGTGAGCCGAGATTGCGCCACTGCACTCCAGCTTGGGAGACAGAGCTAGATTCCATCTCAAAACAACAACAAAAAAACCCAAAGAATAAAAGGTGCAAGGCTGCATAAAATAATGGGAAAAACGTAACACTATACGTAACAACAGGGGAGGTGAACAACTAGACAAATGGTAGAAAGGCATGACAGACTTCCTACTGTGTGCTGTTTCATGTCTTCAACCATATGAATATATTATCTATCAAAAACGTAAGTAAAATGGACACGATATACACATACATGCATATGTATACATATATATGGAAAACATATATCTAATCTGTTAAAATACAAGATCCATGACAGTCTATTTGAAATAAGAAAGTTAAGGTTTGACAGAACTCAACTCTTAAAAAGGAATAAGTGAAAGGGAATGGGGGAAGAAGCACTTTGTAAACTAAAGAAAGATACCAATAAAAAACATGTTTCACAGGAGTGAGCAACCAGTTAGGGTAAATAAAATAACAATACAACGAAAAAATTTTAGTTCTAGTCCAATCTTTAATCCTTACAATTAACAGGAATGTTGACAAGTCAATGTTTCTAGTTGTTAGTGTTAGAATCTGTAAAATGGGGATAATATCCTTCCTGCCTATGCCAAATAATTAAGGATCAAATGAAAACTAGCATGCTAAAGCACACTGCAAACCATAGAGTACAATATAAATTTTCAGTCTGCTGATTTTATAAGAAGAGCAAATTGTCAATAGTATAAAGAATACAAGATTTTGAAATTTTTTTCAATTCTAGACTCTTCACAAAAGTCACATATTTGTAATTTCAAATTCTTGTAACAAGGTGTAAGTTAAATAAGAGCTAATATAGTTCAGAGATGGATGCGTTCTTTTGCAAAAAGTACAGTACCCTACATTTATGTTACTAACCTGATTAGAACCAGCATCAAAACTATCAGGAAGAAATTCTAGATGACGAATGGCTCGAACTTTAGTGGGCATCTGGATAATTCTAAAGAGCTGCCTAGCTTCCAAGCACCACAAATGAAGATGATTTGACTTGCCTCCAGCAGCCAGGATTCGGCCATCTCTATATAACAAAAAAGGGAGAAAGTAAGGCAGGTTCAATTGTTTATAGCAGTGCTGTCTAACAGAACTTTCTGTGATGACAGAAAGGTGCTGTACCTATGCTATCCAATATGGTCACACTAGTCACATGTGATTCCCGAGCACTTGAAATGTGGCCAATGTTAATGAGGACTTTATTTTTAAATTGTATTTAATTTGTATTCATTTAAATACTTGTATGAACAGCTCAGGTTTATAGTATATATATTTTTACCTATTGTGCTAAGGCACCAGTTTACCAAACATTTAATGACCTGATTGTGGGTTTTTTACATAACACTTATATTTTATAGCATAATCTCAAGGTCACTTATCACTATCCAACTTTCTGTGTTTCACATACAGCTATACAGAATTGGTAGTACTGGCTATATGAAAAAATGTAACAGCCCAAACTTTTTTCCTGCTCAAAGAAAGCTACCTTAATAAGGTACAAAAAGAGTAAGTTGTTTTGACTTGCAAGGCCGTTGCTCATTCATTCAACAAGAACTTGTAAAGGACTTATTAATTTGTAAAAAGTGTGATAATACTATGGTTATGTTTCAAGTGTCTGCTATAAGCCAGGTATGGTCCCAGAAGCCAGGAACACAGTCAGTTAAGGCTGCACAAGTCAAGTAATCCTGCTCTTACAGGATTTTCGGTCTAGAGGAAGGCAAACAAACAAATAAATGAACTTGTTCTCAGCGGGTAATAAGTTCTATACAGAATTACAAAATAAGGTGATGAAAGCTGGGAAAGGAGGAAGATCTGCTACCTGAATGACACAAATAGGCCAGTCATGGGATGATCTGGAGGAAGAATTCTATCCTGATCAGTATTCCAGACTGGCTGGTACAAAAGTGCTGAAAAAGCAGTAAAGTTAGTATATAAGGAAAAGTAAGTAAGAGGTCATACTCAAGTGCACTGCAATATGAAAGTACGCTGCTATACTCGGGTGTGGCTAGAGGAGACTAAGGAAGGAAATGAGACGAAGCGAGGGAGGCCTAGGCCAGACGACAGAAGGCCTCGGGGGAAATGAGGGGTGGGGGGTTGGATTTTACTCTAAATGATGAAGGAGGTTAAATAGGAAAGTGACATGATCTGACTTACAGATTTATAAAAACCACTTTATCCGCTGTGCAGAGAATGACTATAGGAAATGAGATTGAAAACAGGGAGAACAAATAAGAAGGCTATTAGAGTCATCTAAAAGAGGCTAGGGTAGCTTGGATTAGGGTACCACCCACAGCAATGAATAAAAACAAATTGACCAATTTGAGATATAGTTTGGTTGAGTTGATGGGATTTACTGATGACTTAGAAGAACAAGGTGAGAAAAGAGAGGAATTAACATCTATCTCCTAACTCTTTCCCCTGACTAGAAACAAGGATCGGCCCAGTCAAAATGAGAACCCCTAGCATCCAGATTAGGGTCTTGAAATACCACTTCCCAAAAAAGAACCCAGACTCTTTAGAGAAAAGGCTAATTCCAGGGTTAGGGCAGGAATTGTACCAGATAAGCTTGGAACATCTTGTCACATCAGAAAGCATGAAAGCTATCATAGGCAACTGGAGTTGTAGTAAAAGGATGCCAAAGCCAGTGAAAAGAGGTTCCTATTAGTCAAAGATGAGAGAACTGGAACATCTAAGAATGACGGCTGCAATGTATTAAAACATGCTAACTACTCTAAGCCTATGAATTTACAAAGATTAAAGACATAAAACTTCATTAGCTACTTTTGAAAGATGCCAATAAACCAGTTCATTACTTTTAAAACTAGTTTAAGAAAAAAGAGGAGAAAGTTAAGCATTCATCCTGCCTTTCCTTTACAACTGTACATCAAAATAACCAAAGGGTAGATAAGAAGAAGTTTCTTTCTATAGAAAGTTATTAACTAATAAGTGAAGAAGAAATGAGAGAATTAGAACAGCAGCATTTTGCTAACTTCTAAGGCCGTACTGGATCTAGGGAATGATCACCAATGGCTACTGACATCACAAAAGAAAACTGTTCTACGTTGTTGCTGATGAAAGTACACAAACCACCTTCTTGTGTAATGTCTTCTTGTGCTTAAATCAGATCAAGCCTCCAGTTTTTAGAAAATACAGGTATAACCAGTATACAGGAAAAATACAGATAACAGAGGATCATATTAAACAATACCACACAAAGACAAAGAGCAAAATCCAGAATATAAAAAACTCAAGAGGAGAAATAACCAGTTATTTAATGAATAAACTATAAGGGAAAAAGAAAAGATGAATACATCAACAAAATACAATGTGTGAACCTTGTTTTGCTTCTTATTCAAACAAATCAATCATAAAAACCAATTATTAGACAAATCAAGGACATTTGAATATGACTAGATATATGACAATATTAAGATATTCTTATTCACTTTTAAAAAGTGTGATAATAGGCCGGGCGCAGTGGCTCACGCCTGTAATCCCAGCACTTTGGGAGCCAAGGCAGGTGGATCACCTGAGGTCAGAAGTTCAAGACCAGCCTGGCCAACATGGTGAAATCCCGTCTCTACTAAAAATGTAAAAATTAACCGGGCGTGGTGGCAGGCACCTGTGATTCCAGCTACTTGGGAGGCTGAGGCAGGAGAATTGCTTGAAGCTGGGAGGTGGAGGCTGCAGTAAGCTGAGATTGTGCCATTGTACTCCAGCCTGGGGGACAAAAATGAGACTTCCTCTCAAAAAAAAAAAAAAATAAATAAAGTGTGATAATACTATGGTTATATTTCCAAAAGGGCCCTTATCTTTCAGAGATAAACTGAAATATTCACAGATAAAATGATATACTTAGGTTTTACTTCAAACAATGCATTGGGGAAGTAGGTGAAATGACTGATAAAAATAGAAATGGCCGGGTGCAAAATGGACGGGTGCGGTGGCTCATGCCTGTAATCCCAGCACTTTGGGAGGCTGAGGTGGGTGGATCACGAGGTCAGGAGTTCAAGACCAGACTGACCAACAAGGCAAAACCCCATCTCTATTAAAAACACAAAAATTAGCTGGTGTGGTGGCGCATGCCTATAATCCCAGCTACTCAGGAGGCTGAGGAAGGAGAATCACTTGAACTCGGGAGGCAGAGGTTGCAGTGAGCTGAGATCGCACCACTATACTCCAGCCTGGGCGACAGAGCAAGATTCCACTTCAAAAAAAAAAAAAAAAAAAGAAATGGCCATTCATTGATGATTATTGTAGCTTATGGAAATATTTAGTGGTTCTGATGGAGGAAATGCTGGTATAAATAAAACAACACACACACACACACACACACACAAAACAAAACAAAAAAAACAAAAAAAAACGAGGAAGAAATTCTTAGGGGTTCATGTATTTTTCTATTTTTGTGTATATTTGATATTTCACAAAATAAAAAAAAGTCAGCAGATCATATCTAAATTTGAAGGGAACTTTTTCTAATATGACAAAAAGATACTGAATAAAAACTAAACAAAAATTTGTAATTTTTTACCAGAAATTAAATTTCTTAAATATGCCTAGTGTCTTAAAATGCACATTACCTGGTCACAGCAAACACTTTGTATAATATACTAGAGCTTTCAGGTGGAGCTGGCAATTGATATTTGCAAAAAAGTGTGTCACATTCCCAGGCAAAAATGGAATTATCTTTAAAACAGCTGAGGATGGTATTACTTAATGGTAGAAAGAAAACCTAAGGAGGAATAGAGAAAGTTAGTTTTCACACAAGGTTCATATAGTACTCTTTAAATTTAAAATTATACAAGTAGCCTATTTTTCTTTATTAAAATATTCTTTTCTTAAGTTGGAGAAAAATACATTTCTAATATATGACAAGGAGTAATACTGATTATTTCATAAATTATTATTAACCAAAAAAAAAAAAAAACCCTTCAAACGAAAACTAGGTATACTATAATGACTAGACAAGTCACAAAATTCTAAATGGCAGTTTAAAAAATTTCACCTAATATTATTAGAGTTAAATGAAAACAAGATACAATTTTGAGTATCAATTTTACTTCAAAAATAAAGCACATTGGTCAGGTGTGGTGGCTCACACCTGTAATCCCAGCACTTTGGGAAGCCAAAGCAGGTGGATCACTTGAGGACATGAGTTTGAGACCAGCCTGGCCAACATGGTGAAACCCTATTTCTACCAAAAAAGTACAAAAATTAAGTCGGGCGTGGTGACTCACACCTGTAATCCCAGCACTTTGGGAGGCGAGGCAGGGGATCACCTGAAGTCAGGAGTTCGAGACTAGCCTGACCAACAAGGGCTCTACTAAAAATACAAAAACTACTCAGGCATGGTGGCAGGCATCTGTAGTCCCCACTACTTGGGAGGCTGAGACAGAACTGTTTGAACCCAGAAGGTGGAGGTTACAGTGAGCCAAGAACCTGCCACTGCACTTTAGCCTGGGTGAGGGAAAATAAACAAACAAACAAACAAACAAACAAACAAAAAAAACAATTAGCCAGGCATGTGCCTGTAGTCCCAGCTACTCAGGAGGCTGAGGCAAAAGAATCCCTTGAACCTGGGAGGTGGAGGTTGCAATAAGTCAAGATTGCACCACTGCATTCCAGCCTGGATGACAGAGCAAGACTCTGTCTTCAAAAAGAAAGCACATATATGCACACACAAAATGTGGTGTGTTTATATATACATATTACTCCCACAAAATGGGGTCTATGTATATATTATTCCAGCGGTAGTGTATGACAGTGCCTTTTCCCTATACTTCCACCAACATTTGATATTTTTTAAACATCTATCAGTAGTTAGTATTTAATATAGTGTTTATATTAGTACATAGTGTTTATATTAGTATATAGCTCTATATATACTATATATACACACACACACATATATAGTAAAAAAAAAAGCCACTGTCATACACTGCCATTGGGAGTAAAAATTAGTTAAATATACTATACTATATGTGTCAACAGCCTTAAAATATGTATCTTCCCAAATTAGTCAGTTTGCTTTTAAAAGTTAGTCCTGGCTGGGCGCTGTGGCTCACACCTGTAATCCCAGCACTTTGGGAGGCTGAGGTGGACGGATCACCTGAGGTCAAGAGTTTGAGACCAGCCTGGCCAACATGGTGAAACTCTGTCTCTACTAAAAATACAAAAATTAGCCAGGTGTGGTGACAGGCGCCTGTAATCCCAGCTACTCGAGAGGCTAAGGCATGAGAATCACTTGAACCGGAGGGTGGAGGTTGCAATGAGCTGAGATTGCGTCACTGTACTCCAGCCTGGGTGACAAGAGTGAAACTCCATCTCAAGAAAAAAAGTTACTCCTTTGGGAATATTGGGCAAAGTGTTTCAAGATAAGTAAGTGTTAAGCATTCTTTTTATAAGAGTAAAAAGGTGCAAATGCATATATAATCCTATCTTATTACAGATTCCAGATTCAGTTTATTTAATGGACAAGCGAGAGTGAAACTGATAGCAAAGTTGAAAATACCATCACTTTATTCTCCTAATTTCCATTTTTTATCACAAGCATAAACAATGCTTCCTTTTGTTAATACAAAATTATTAATGGAAATTAATCAATATTTTCTCATAAAAGTTTCAGTGGCTTCGAATATAATTTTGTGTGTCATCGGTACAACACACACACATATATATAATGCACTAGAGAACATACTGGTTAGCAAAAATAATCTACTCAGGATTAATGCCAATAAGACAATAAAAAATACTAACTCAACTACAGCAGATACTGACAGATCAGGCAAGGGCATGATCAAGATCCTCACTTCCTCCTTGGCTCACTTTGCTAAAGACAATCTGTGGTAGATCTTTTGCTATCAGATTCACTGTTAGGAAGATTTATAATATGAAGGCCTTACAGATTTCTATAATCTACAATGAACGCATTAAAACACTCTTTCAAAACTGAGGTCAAAAAGTGACTTAAGAAAATTCTTATTATAATTAGTAGTCACTTTTCTGGAAAAGTAATAAAGTTTATTCCTACTGGGAAAAGCAGAAGCTTAAAAGTTAATGAGCATCAACTGCTATTTTAGCGGAATAACTGTGATAGATTATTGCCTACATGATTATTCATTACTAGATTTGTGATTTTAATTGCCATATTTTAATGATTATAAAATTGTTCCTAATGAAGCATGTCATTATTATTTAGATAGTGTCATCTCTTGAGAAACATAAAAACCTTAGGAAAGACTTCAAAACATTAACAAAGTATACTTTTTGGGGGGTTAGGTTCAAGCATGGAGCTGCAGTTTTTCCTTGTAGAACACAAAAATCCTAAGCTTTCCAATTCAGTTTGAGGAGGTAGATGAACTCTTTTCAAGGTTTATTTTATCTATCTATCTATCTATCTATCTATCTATCTATCTATCTATCTATCTATCTGGAGACAGAATCTTCCCTCTGTCACCAGGCTGGAGAGCAGTGGCGCGATCCTGGCTCACTGCAACCTCCAATTCTTATGCCTCAGTCTCCCAAGCAGCTGGGACTAGGGCCGTGCCAACATGCCCAGCTAATTTTTTGTATATTTTAGTAGAGACGGGGTTTCACTATGTTGGCCAGGCTGGTCTAGAACTCCTGGCCTCAAGTGATCTGCCTGCCTTGGCCCCCCAAAGTGCTGGGATTACAGATGTGAGCCACTGTGCCCGGCCCCTTTTCAAGGTTTAAAGAGTTTAGGATGCTAATATTAGCAAGTTAAGGTCAAATGTATTATTTGGCAGTAATTTATTGAGTGTCCTGGGTACACAGGCTGAATTAAGTTCAGCAAAACACTCTTTATTAGATGTTTTCTGATATCCATCACAAAGCCTTTCTGATACCACAGTAATCACAAATCCTGGGGATTCCAAAATCTCTAACTAATGAGCTGAATATCTTACCTCCAAGCATCAACAAAAGAATAAAAATGTACTAATCTGAAAATGTATAACTCATTTACCTGAGAAGCAGTAAGGCTTTAGATAAAGACAGGTTTGAATTCAAACTGCAACTCTCTTCTAAACTATGTGATACTGAACAAATTACTTAATCTTTCTGGACAAAGTACTTAATATTTCTGAACTTCGGTTTCCCTTCTTGCAAAATGGGGATAATGGAACATACTGAACAACAGGTATCTATTATTATTACTAGTAATTACTACTATTACTGCTTACAAAAATCAGCAGAAAGAGGTTACAGTGGTAGGTTCTTTACAAACACTCTGAAATCAAAGTTCCATAGTTCCTTTTCTGAAACCCTTGGGGCTTCTGAATGCAGATTTCCAATTTTAGATAGGTAGTGTGATGTATATTCTATAACATTATGTAGAACTTTAGGCGACCTGAGGCAATGCCCCATACTCAAACATATTAATATTTCAGCCTTATGTCAATTCAGTTCAGATTTTGCTGCTAAATGAATTGAGGTCAGATCGCATTTTGCTGCTGAGTTATTTAAACACTTTTGGGTTTCTGAATTGTTAATATAATGTAGCTAAAAAATAAATACATGTTACCCCCCAGTTTTGTTGTTTTTTCTGACACGGAGTCTCGCTCTGTCCCCCTGGCTGTAGTGCAGTGGCGCGATCTCGGCTCACTGCAAGCTCCGCCTCCCGGATTCACGCCATTCTCCTGCCTCAGCCTCCCAAGCAGCTGGGACTACAGGCGCCCGCCACCGCGCCCGACTAATTTTTTTTGTATTTTTAGTAGAGACGGTGTTTCACCGTGTTAGCCAGGATGGTCTCGGTCTCCTGACCTTGTGATCCGCCCGCCTCGGCCTCCCAAAGTGCTGGGATTACAGGCGTGAGCCACCGTGCCCGGCCCCAGTTTTGTTTTTTTGGGACAGGAGCTCGCTCTGTCGCCTAGGCTGCAGCACAGTGGTGTGATCTTGGCTCACTGCAACCTCTGCCTCCTGGATTCAAGCCATTCTTGTGCCTCAGCCTCTTGAGTAACTGGGACTACAGGCACAGGCCAGCACACCAGCTAGTTTTTGTATTTTTTGTAGAGACAAGGTTTCGCCATGTTGCCCAGGCTGGTCTCAAACTCCTGTGCTCAAGCAATCAGCCTGCCTCTTAAAGTGTTGGGATTACAGGCGTGAGCCCATGTGCCTGGCACCCTACAGCTTAGGCAAATTATCTAATTGCACTGAGATAATCCTATCATAGGCTTGATGGTTACAACAGCAACAGATGCAATTTTACTAAGCACTTACTATACAACCAGCACTGTCCTAACTTTGCATAGATTATCACACTCAGTGCTGAAACCAACCCTGAGGGAGGGACTACCGCTGAGTATTCCTTATGCAAAATGCTTGGAACCAGAAATGTTTTGGATTTTTTTGGACTTTGGAATATTTGTATTATACTTACCAATTGAGTTCCCTACTCCAAAAATCTGAAATCTTAAATGCTCCAATGAACATTTCCTTTGAGCCTGATATTTGAGTATCATGTTGGCACTCAAGTTTCAAATTTTGGAGCATTTGGGATTTCAGATTTTTGAATTGGGAATCCTCAACCTGTATAGTTTACTATTTTTTCCTACACATAAGGTAAATAGCTTGTCAAAAATGTTTAACATGAATCTACTCAAACCTTTAGACTTAATATCTAGTTTACAGAAAATGCAGGCGAAAGACATATAAGTTAAACAATAATGATGAAACAGAAAAAACAACTCCAGAATGTGGGGCATTTTCTAAGATAACTGGTCTGATCTCTCCAGAAAATTAATGTCATGAGAAAAAAAGTAGAAGACTGGGTTAGATTAAAAGAGCCATCGAAAACGAAATCCATAACAGAAGACCCAAAGCAAGTTACTGAAGGGTCACATGTGTCATCAAAACAAATAAATAAAAGTTCTATTTAAAATATAGAATTAGAATCTGTAATAAAAATATGACTTTAGTAACAATTTGATAAGAATTAACGTTTTTAGGGGCACATGTTCTCAGGCTCTCCTGAGGGCTGTGTCACCGGAAAAAAAACTTTTTAAAAAACGAACATTTTACTTTAATATTCAGGTTACAAAACGAACATTTTACTTTAATATTCAGGTTACAGTTATTTCCTGTTTTCAACAGAAGTGGTCACCACCTGGCCCATCTCTAGTCTTTGTACAGCCCAGGAGCTAAGAATGGTCACTTTTTTTTGGAGATGGGTCTCACTGTGTCACTGTGTTGCCCAGCTGGGTCTTGAATTCCTGGGCTCAGGGGATTCTCCCACCTTAGCTGGGTACCTGGCTTTAAATGGTTACATTCTGAATGGTTATATAATTTTGCTCTTGAACTGCAAAGTCAAAAATATTTACTGGCCCTTTAAGAAAAATGTGCTGATAACTTGGACTATGGTGTTATTTTATTTTATTTTATTGAGACAGTCTCACTATTGCCCAGGCTGGAGTGCAATGGTGTAATCTCGGCTCACTCAACCTGTTTCCCAGGTACAAGTGATTCTCCTGCCTCAGCCTCCCCAGTAGCTGGGATTACAGGCATGTGCCACCACGCCCAGCTAATTTTTGTATTTTTAGTAGAGATGAAGTTTCACCATGTTGGCCAGGCTGTTCTCGAACTCCTGACCTCAGGTGATCCACCCACCTCGGACTCCCAAAGTGCTGGGATTACAGGCGTGAGCCACCGTACCCGGTCCTGTTTTATTATTTTAGAGCAATTTACTGTATGCACACATCACACTATACATACATTTTCACATTTAATTTTATTCTTATAGCACTAACATTAATATACTTAGGCACACATGACAGTATACATACATTTTCCACAGTCCTAATTTTTAAACTAAAATATCTAAATGTCCAAGCAAGGTTTGCATTGGCAACTATTCAGCGTATACTCATTTTAATTTCGTAGTAAAAAGAACAGATGGTTTCTGTGTCATGTGTCATTGTTTCATAACTCTGTTTCCGCGTGGCTTCAACTCCCAATGTTCTCTTCTTTGGAACTTAAAATTCAAAATGTAAGTACTAAAGCAATTAAAGAAGAAAAGACCTACTAAGACATTTGGCCTAAATCCCTAATGAATAAGTTGGCACAACTTTTATCTCTTTTTAATTATTAAAAGCACATTAAAGGACACCGGGATTTCCATGGAGACTACAAAGTAAATTTTTGGTTGACATGCACTGCTAGCTGTTCATGTTAATAACCTAGAAATTAAAAGCAGTACTGCATGTGTAATATAACCTGAAGCAAAATAATTAATCACACAAGAGACTCAGATACTCCTGAAAATAATATTTATCTAATGAAATAGAAAGAAAAAAACCTGAAAAGCAAAAGATGGTGGGCATTGAGGAGACAGGGCCTTCCTTGGACAAAAACAACCTAGCAATGCTACATTTGAAGTGGGTTTGAGGAATAGGGCCTGCGTGCTCATTTGAATAAAACCAGCCAAACAGAAAGTTTTGAAGAGGAAAGACCTATAATCCCATCTTCCTCTGACTTCTCCACTTCTAACATTTTGAACACCAAAGCCTGGCATAGAACAGGTGCCCAGGCTGGGCGTGGTGGCTCATACCTGTAATCCCAGCACTTTGGGAGACCAGGTGAGTGGATCACTTGAGGCCAGGAGTTTGAGACCAGCGTGGCCAACATGGCAAAACTCCATCTCTACTAAGAATACAAAAATTAGCTGGCCGCCATGGCGCACAACTGTAATCCCAGGTACTCAGGAGGCTGAGGCACAAGAATCGCTTGAATCTGGGAGGCAGAGACTGTAGTGAGCTGAGATTGTGCCACTGCATTCCAGCCTGGGTGCCAGAGCCAGACTCCATCTCAAAGAAAAAAAAAAGAACAGGGAGGAAGAAGGAAGGGGAGAGAGGGAGGGAGAATCGGTGATGTGGACAATGTAGTGTGACACAAAGTGCCAGCTCCCTTAGGGTGGAAGTCACAGACAGACCCCTAGAGCTGAAGAGGTGTAACAGACTTGGACATGGGGGCCTGGAGGAGGAAGAGTCACTGGGGCACTGCAAAAAGGTGGGACAGCCAAAGGCTCCTTGACTCCATCCCAGGATTTGAGAAGCCTAACTCTGCAGAAAGGCTCCAATCTGGCTTCACACCCTGACGGCTCTGGCACTTGCAGCTGCCAGTGCTTCCAGTCTCCAGATCCCAGTGTCTTTGTGTTTGGGGAACAATAAACACTGCCTACCTCATTGAGGCAGTGTCAGGACCGAGTTGAGATAAGGTATGGAAAGTTCTTAATACAATGCCTGAAACATAGTAAACGATTCAGTAGCTATTATCACAATTGAAGAAAGGGTGAGATTTGACTAGGTGGAGAGAATGGGAAGGTTACTGAGTGTGGTAAGGAGGGAAGAGGGGGCAGCAGTGTGGAAACCCTATGAAAGAGACCAGTTTGGATGTCATATAGGAAATCATAGGAGATGACAGCCAGGGGACATAAAGGACAAAATAACAATAGGAGCTGCTATATAAGGGCCTGGCACTCTGCCAAGCCCTTGACATGAATTATTTATTTTATCTCATTTTCTCACTAGCCCTGGTAAGGTGGTTACCACAGACCCATTTTCCTGCTCAGGAAACGGAAGCCGAGAGAGGTTGGTTATGTGGCTTGTCTGTAAAAAGAAAAGATAGAACCAAACTGGGGCACTTGCAGGGCTCAGAACAAGAGTACATCTGGAGGCCCATATACCATATGTTTCTATGTAGTTGGAAAAAAACAAAAGAAATGGATTTTTAAAAGGTGGCATATTTATAAGATGGAATTCTAAACAGCAATAAGAAAGAACAAATTATTAATAATATGGATGGATCTCAAAAACATTATGCTGAGTGAAAAAAGCCTTACATAAACTATTATTGTATAGTTCTATTTACATGAAATTTTAGAATAGGCAACACTAATCCATGGTAGGAAAAAGAAGAGTGGTGGTCACCCAGGGAGGGAGACGGTGGAATTTTCTGGGATAATGGTAATACTACATCTACACAGGTTACACAGGTGTGTGTATTCCTCAAATTTAACAAATGAATACTTAAGACTTACATATTTCATTATATATAAATTTTACATCAACAAATATTGACCCCTAGTCAATTAAGCAAAAGCTTAAGTATTTACAGGGAAGTACGCTGATGTCTGAAGTTTACTTTAAAACACACACACAGCTGGGCACGGTGGCTCATGCCTGTAATCCCAGCACTTTGGGAGGCCGAGGTAAGAGGACTGCTTGAGCCCAGGAGTTTGAGACCAGCCTGGACAACATAGAGAGACCTTGTCTCTATAAAAAATTTAAAAATTAGCTGGGCATGGTGGCACACGCCTGTGGTCCTGGCTACATGGGAGGCTGAGACAGGAGGATCGCTTGAACCCAAGCTGCAGTGAGTTACCATTACACCACTACACTGCAGCCTGGGTGACAGCGAAAGACCCGTCTCAGAACAAAACACACACACACACATATTATTAGGAGAATTAATGAATAGAGGGACAGAAAGATGGACAGAGTGGCTGAGTGTGCGGTGGCTCACACCTGTAATCCCAGCACTTTTGGAGGCTGAGGTGGGCGGATCACTTGAGGTCAGGAGTTTGAGACCAGCCTGGCCAACATGATGAAACCTGGTCTCTACTAAAAATACAAAAATTAGCTGGGCATGGTGGTGCGTACCTGTAGTCCCAGCTACTTGGGAGGCTGAGGCAGGAGAATCACTTGAACCTGGGAGGCAGAGGTTACAGTAAGCTGAGATCATGTCACTGCACTCCAGCCTGGGTGACAGAGCAAGACTCCGTCTCAAAACAAAGAAAAAGAAAGAAAGATGGATAGACCCATAAGAGAGTATAGTACCATGTAAAGTATAGTAGAGGATAGTACAGTAACGTGTTAATGGTAGAATCTAGATACTGAATGTACATGTGTTCAAAAATTCTCACAAATCTACTCCGTGTTTCAAATTTTTCATAATAAAATGTCAGAGGGTTAAAAATGAAAACAAAACCAATCAACTAAGTGACTTTTGCCTTAGGAGAGTTGAGATTACACAGCTATAATTTTAGAAAAGAGCTCACTAAGTCATAAATTGTAGCTATAGGCAACATCTTTGTGTTGGCCACTTTGCTTTGCTTGTTGCTGAGTTACAGAGCTACAAGGACAAAGTAAATCATTACTCATATACATTTATATACCCTGTTGACCAAGAAATTAGCCGGAGAAGCACAACACGTCAAGATGTCCCCTGTCACTGACCTTCTGTATACCCACAGACTGGCGAATATTCAGCTTTCTTTTTCTTTGAAAGGTATCCAAGTCCCATAATTGTGCTGTATCAGAAGAAGTGGTGATGGCGTATTTCCCTGATGCATGCACAGAGATTGAAAATACTGATGACTCATGTCCTCTCATCCAGCTAACTAGCTCCTTGGTGACTGTGGTAAAAAGTAAAATTGTTACCCAGGTAAAACACTGTACATTTAGAAATAACACTACATATAAACACCATAGATGAACTGATCCAATAGGTGGTTAGGTATTATATGAGGCACCTCCATCAATAGCCACAAAAATGGAAGCCTGTGGCCAGTTGACAAAGTATGATGGGACATGTTAGCAACATCTCATTCATGTAGGAGACAAGGCTGACAAAGGCTTTGATGCAGAATAACCTCAAAATTTATGCTAGTGAGTTTGGGCTTTCTCTTGCGGGTAATTTTATGTAAAAGAGTACCATATTTAGTCCGTGTTTTAGAAAGAGCACTTTGAGGATATCTGGTGGAGGGGAAGAGATTGAACAAGAAAGATTAATTTATATGTTGCTGTAATAATCCAGGCAGGAGATACGGAGGGCCTCAACTAAGAAAGTGGCAATGGAGAAAAGAACAAATCCAAGAGCTAGTAAGGAGAAAAACAAAAAAATATTAGTGATCAAGTTGATGTCCTGGAGATATAAGAGAAGTGAAGGCTCCAGTGGTTCCAGCGTAGTTATTTAAGCAGATGGTGATATTGTTAGTGGATGTAAGAAATACATGAGGAGGGGCCAGGCGGTGGCTCACGCCTGTAATCCCAGCACTTTGGGAGGCTGAGGCAGGTGAATCACTTCAGCCTAGGAGTTTGAGACCAGCCTGGGCAACATGACAAAACCGTATCTCTAAAAAAATAAAAAAATAAAAAAAAATAATAAATACATGAGGAAGAACAGGTTTATCAGTGTGAGATAATGATAATACATTTGGTTTTTAAACTTGAGTCTGAGGTACTTGTGTGTATTTGTGTAAGCAGAGAAAACAGTTTGGTAGGGAAAGTACCAAAAACTATTCATGATAATTATCACTGGGTAGTAAAAGCGTAGGTGATTTTTCTTTTCCTTTACACTTTTTTATATGTTTGCAAGTATTCTACAGTAGGCATGTTTTACTTTTATGATCAGAATTTCCCCCCAGAAAGATGGAACTTGAGAATAGTCAGAAAGCAAGATATAAATCTGGGAAACATTATGATACAAAGTAGGTCAAAACTGAAGACAGAGAAACAGACAAATCCCTTAGGGAAACAGCAGTGGTTTCCAAACACCATTCGGAGGTCTGGCATTAGTTAATGATAAATTTTCCATTGGTCTTCAGGGAAAGAAAAAAATACAGATAATGCAGTGAGTTTTTCATAAAGTCAAATTTAAAGTACTACTCTTTCATTTGTATTATGTCACTCCCTGTTTATGTAGAAAGAAAATCCCTTGTTTTATGAAATTGTATTTTTTCCCAATGTCAGTTAGCAATATTAAAAGTTGACAAGCTATGTGAGTTCTTCCACTTTTTTAATTGGGTCAAAAATCCAAAGTCTAGGAACCACTGAAAGAATTCAGGAGACATGATTGAGAAGCAGTTAGAAAGACAGGAGGAGAACCAAGGTAATAGAATGAAAACTAAAACAAAACAAAACAAAACAAAAAACTTTCAAAGTAATTCCAATTGTTAAATGCTATAGAGAAGTAGGATGAAAACTGTAAAGATGACTTAAACGATCAGGGGTTAGGGTTACTAAGGACCTTGGAGACAGAAGTCTCAGTAGCATGGGGTAGGGGAAGCAAGGGTCAGAATTCATCAATGGATACTGTGAAGAAGCAGAATTTGGCAGAGAGGGGAAAGAAAGAAGGAAGGAGACAGTGTCTAAGGAAGGGGCTTCTAGGTGGGGGTTCAGTGAAGTAGAAGAACTATAAGAACACGGAACAAGGAAGAAAAAGAGGAGAAGAGTGGAATCTAAGGAAAGGTGAGTTATAAAGACTTCATTTTTCTGATATTTTGTCACAGCAATGTTTGTAACGCCAAAAATTGAAAACAGTTTGAAAGTCCAGCAATAGGTAATAGGTTAAAAAATTATGGTAAACATCTATACAGTGGAATGTTAGGTATTGATTTTAGATATGCGATATGAATTTTAATGAGGTAAAATTATCCCACAAAACAATACAGACAGGATAATTATGCATTTGTTAGAAGATAAAGAAAGTATATACATAGAAAACAGACTGGAAAGAGAGAGCCCCATTATGAAAACACTGCGTCTCTAGGCCGTACTGCAGAATCACTGTGTTTTTTCTTCTTTGTATGTAGGATGAAGTGTACTACAGTGATTAAGAGCAGTGACTCCACAGCCAGACCACTTAGGCTGGAATTCTGGCTCCACTGCTTATAAACTGAGGGACACTGATTAAGTTACCCATGTGCCTCAGTTTCCTCATCTGCAAAATGGGGATAATAATAGTATTCATCTCTGTGGGTTATGATGATGATTAAAATTAATTAATGTGTATAAAGTCACAGAAAGTCCCTGGCAGGGAGTAAACACTATGTGTTAGCTATCACTATCTTTAATATTATTATTTATACATCTGCTGAACACTATAACACATTGATTATTTTAATAAGAAAAAAATACAGTTGAAATATCTCTTTTTTAAGAGTAATAGGTTTAGTCTACAGAACTCTATGTTCTCAATTTAAAAACATAATGTGGTATAAAACACACAGGCTATATTAAAAAAAGATATTGTACCTGTGTAGTAAGGAATTTGACCTTTACAGAGCGGTCTGGCTTCTGTTTAGGCTCCTGGGAGGTAACCTGTAAACCCGTGACTTAGGGGTGTCTTTGTTATTCCTGGCGGGCCCCTCACACTATACCAGATAGTTTATGCTAAGAAGACTCAGAGTGGGAGATGGCCACACAAGAAAGGCCAACCACGTGATTAGAAGTTTAGGGCTTTTGGGGCGAGTGACATCAGACTAACTTCTTAGGAGGAGAGGAGGGCTGGAAATGGAGTCCAGCCACGTGGGGAATGATCCAATCAGTCATGCCTATGTCATGGCGCCTCAGTAAAAACTCTCGACACCAAAGCTTGGGTTGACTCCCTGTGTCAACAGTGCTTGGCGCAGATGGCCAGCCACACACCAGTGCTGGGAGGGTTGTCTGGGAGGGCAGTGCATCCTTGAGGACAATGGAGACTTTCCTTTTGGAAGCCTCCCAGATTCCACTCCATGCTTCTCTTCCTTTGGCTAGTTATACTTTGTATCTATCCTTTTGCTATATTAAAACTATCATCATTAAGTGTAGGCTTTCCTGAGTCCTGTGAGTTGTTCTAGTGAATTATGAAACCTGACAGCAGTCAGGAAACCCTGACTTTGTAGTCAACCGATCTAAAGTGAGGCTGTTCCTAGGACCCCCAGCTTGCACCTAGTGTCTGAAGCGAGGGCAGTCATGGGGACTGCGCCCTCAAGCTGTACAGAGTGATAAACTTCTTGCAGTTCTTCACTCTATATTTTACTCTGCTTCAAAAGAAAAACAGAAGTTCTTACCTGTATCAAAACATTTAATAGAATAATCAGCTAATGCCACAAGGAATTCAGATTTCCTACGAAGATTAAACGCCAGAGCTGTGCAAGCTTGTGCTGTTCGCTGAACAAGATTGAACCTATTAAGAAATCATTGCATTAGTATCGCAAATTCTTCCAATAATTATAAATTCCACGTGGAAGGACTCCATAGAGACGAAGAAAATGAAACCCAGAAAAATGAGCTACCATTTTAGGCCAAAAATAGATTATGAAGGGTGCTATGTGCCATATGAAGGAGTTTGGATGTTATTAGAATAGGAAACCACTGTAAGTGTTTAGCACAACAGAATCACAATCAGGTATGTGTTTTAGGAAGATGATCCTGGCAGCAATGGCAAATGGGAAGAGGGACAAGTAATAAAGGAGATCACTAAGAAAGTTACTACAGAAAATCTCAGCCAGAGATATGGGAGCACAAATAGGAGAGGTTTCAGAAGTCAAGCAGAGGCTCGGTATGGATTAAACATGGAGCGAAGAAGGGGGAATCAGGACCTGCACTTGTGTAAAATGAAGATAAGGCTAGATACAAGGCTGTTGTGATGACTACATGAAATAATACATGTTGAGTGCTCAGTAGAGTACTGGGCACCTAGCTAGAGTTTAATTTACAGAAAATTAAGCTTTTGAACTTAGGCAAAAGAGGAATAAGTTTGGGGGTAGGAAATGATAAATCTGCTTTTAAACATGTGGTTTAAGGCCCTGTGAAACTGATCTAGAGCCATGCTGTCTGAAAGAAATACAACATGGGCTACATATGTAATTTAAATTTTTCTAGGAGCCATATTAGAAAAGTAAGAAGAAATAGGTTAAATTAATCTTAATAATATAGGATATGCTTTGGCTCTGTCCCCACTCAAATCTCATCTTGAATTGTGGCTCCCATAATTCCCACATGTTGTGGGAGGGACCCAGTGGGAGATAATTGATTCATGGGGGCAGTTTCCCTAACACTATTCTCATGGTAGTGAATAAGTCTCACGAGATCAGATGGTTTTATACGGGGAAACCCCTTTCCCTTGGTCTTCATTTCTCTCTTGCCACCACTACGTAAGAAGTGCCTTTGCCTTCTGCCATGATTGTGAGGCCTCCTCAGCTACGTGGAACTGTGAGTCCATTAAACCTCTTTTTCTTTATAAATTACCCAGTCTCAGGTATGTCTTTATTAGCATGAGAACAGACTAATATACTTTATGAATTCAATATGTATCTAAAACATTAGTATTTCAATATTTAATCAATTCAAAATTATTGAGATATTTTACACTTTTTATCATATTAAGTCATCAAAATCCAGTGTGTATTTTAATTTTACACACGCTTCATATCTCAATTTGGACCAATCACTTTTCAAGGGCTCAAGAGTTACATGCAAGTTAGTGGCCCCCGGAGAGCCCAATCTAGAAGAGTTCTAGTAGGCAGTAGTAGCAGAAGTAGGTCTAAGTCAACAGTGTTTACATGGCAGATGAAGCCTGAGGCTTGGTGGTGATGTGATTATCGAAAAGAGAGCCTGAAATATGGAAGGAAGCAAGCCAAAGACAGATGTTTGGGGAGCACAACATGAAAGGGGCAGGCCCTGGAAGAAAAGTCAGTAAAACAAGGGGGAAAAATGATCAGAGAGGTAGAAAATTCAGCAACTGCTGTACCATAAAGCCAAAGAAAAAAATTTCAGGCAGCATGGGAAGACAAGAGCGTTTAGTGTTTTAGTAAAATGAGAACTGAAAAGTGACCAATGGATTGAACAATTAGGAAGATTTTGAGGGAGCCCAGTATACCGGGCTTTATGATCAAGCCTGATTTTAAGTCCGAGCTCAAGTCTGATTTTAAGTCCGAGCTCTGCCGCTAACTGCTCAGCTCAGCCACAAATGTTTTTAGTGAAGGGTGGCAGAATATGCCATATCAGAACATGCCACTTTGGCATAAGCATTACTTTGAACTGAAGATAACTGAGAAAAAGCAGATACAAGAAAAGCTCTCAGTCAGGCACGGTGGCTCACGCCTGTAATCCCAACACTTTGGGAGGCCTAGGCAGGCGGATCATGAGGTCAGGAGATGGAGACCATCCAGGCCAAGGTGGTGAAACCCCGTCTCTACTAAAATACAAAATATTAACCTGGCGTGGTGGTGCACACCTGTCATCCCAGCTACCTGGGAGGCTGAGGCAGGAGATTTGCTTAAACCCAGGAGGTGGAGGCTACAGTGCGCTTGATTGTGCCACTGCACCCTGGCCTGGGTAACAGAGCGAGACTCTACCTCAAAAAAAAAAAAAAAAGAAAAAGAAAAAAAAGAAAAGCTCTCTGCCCTTGTCTAAAAGTTTACATGAATTTGCATACATTTACAAAGGTGTCCCTCTTCCCTTCTCTACCAGGAAGGGTAACAGTTGATCACAGGAGTTGACTTTAGATCTTCATCATCCTGGAAATAGCACCAGAGAAATACATATGACTACCATTAGTTTCCCATATATTTGCCTTCCCACAATTTGCTGCCCTGAGAGACTCAAGGTCCTCTTCTTTTGTCTTGTCACTTCTCTAAAAATGTACTGTTCTTTGACAAAGATGCTATATAAGCCAGAGTATAAGCCACTTTTTGAGTTAGTAATACCTGGACAGTCACGTGTTACATGCATGATACAAGTTGATAGTGTCTCACACTAATACCTGGATACTCTGGGTATTCTCATGTGTTACATGCATGATACAAATTAATAACTTGTTCATTCTGCTCTTGTTAATCTATCTTTTGTTACAAGGGGCCCAGCTGAGAATTTAGAAGGGTAGAGGAAAAATAATTTTTTCTCCCCAACAACCAATAGTGAAAAGGGGACAATGGACAAAATAGTAACACTCATGGTGCAATGTCTCAGGGGAGGCTATAGAAGATAGGGATTAGCACTAGAAGAAATTAAGATCACCTGTTTTTATGAATAAGGTAATGAGGGCTGAACTTTATGAATAAGGTAATGAGAGCTGAACTTTACGAATAAGGTAATGGGGGCTGAACTTACAATATACTTGAGGCTGCAATGCGGAAGGAGAAAGGAAAGCTTGAAGGTGTCTGTTTTCCCATGAATCAGGAGGCCTGGCAGTCAGAATAAGAGTGGAGTCCAACGAAAGGAGACAAGGAAATTGGTAAAGGTTTGCGACACTTGGTGGAGAATAGGCAAAGTAAGTAACGGTAGATAAGCAAATGAAGTGCAAAGAATCCTCAATATTGAAGTTCATTATTCTGTCATGAAATCAATCAACAATTACTTTTATTTTTTTCAGGAGTATTAGCAAATAGACAGTGGTACTGATTTCAGATTGGGAATTGGTGAGGTAAGTTAAACAAGAATAAAGGGTAGAAAAGTTGGGCCCATTACTTTTTTGGTAAAGGGCAGAAACAATGATTTATAGATTTTTACCTAATGAATCACAGATAAGTAAATTATATGTCCCGTCTTTTCTTGAACTATTTGAGAACAAGTTACCAAGATCAAGTTTCCTATAAATAAGAAAACTCTCCTACATAATCACAATATAACCATCAGCACCAAGAAATTACATTTATACATTACCACCATCTAATCCTAAAACTCCAATCAAATTTTGCCAATTTTCCTAATAATGTTCTTTATAGCAAAAGGATCAGCCCAGATTCATGCCTTTGTCATGTCCCTTTCATCTCCCTCAGATTAGGAGTTCTTTAGTCTTTACCCAACTTGCATGATCTTGACCCCTGTGAAGATTACAGGACAGTTTTTTTATTAGATATCCTTAATTTAGCTTTGTGTGATGATCTCACTGATTAGATTCAGGTTATGTATCTTGGCAGGAATATCACAGAAATGATGCTGTGTTCTTCTCACTGCATCCTATTTTGCAGGTGGCACACAAATTTTGATTCATTCCACTACTGGTTGTATTAACTTTAGTCATTTGATTAAGGCAGCGTTTGCTAGGCTTCTTCATTATATAATTACTCTATTTTTCCTCTGTAATTAATAAGTATTTTGTGGGGAGGTACTTTGTGACTATTCAATATCCATTCCTTATTACACTGTTTGTTGATTCCAACATGAACTCATAGATTTCAATTTTATTCAATGGACGACCCATCTCCAACATGACCAGAGGGAACTCCTTCAAGCTGGCAACTGTGTCTTTTTGACACATCCCGAACATTCTTTGAACAATTCCTTCTTTCTGGCTACAAAATGTTACAGGCTCTTCCTGTACTTTCCCTGTCCGCATTCTGAAATTGGCCATTTCTGCAAATATCCTTGATTCCTTTTAGTAGAACGTGGTACTTTGAAAATAAGAACTCAACACGGGGTATATTCATTGCTACCGGCATGCTGTTGCTCCCAGGCCCTCTGAGTGTACAAAGCTAAGGAATAAGTGTACATATAGTTGTACATACCTCTATTTAGTTCTATATCTATCTCTATATATTCAAAACCAGGGGTTCAAACTGATATGTCTAATTCCAATACAATGCCAAGGGGTTTATTCTAGTTTTCTGCCTTCCATAATTTTTAAGTCTCTTTTCTAAGGGTGAGAAACCTGGCCCTCATTATCCCTAATATATTTATTTGATAAAAGCCCTCTGTATTAAACTAGCTTCCCATCACTGCCCCATTCACCATGCAGACACCCTCTGTCTCTCTTTCTGGGCTGCTGCAGCTCTCCTTCCCACCTAGCCCCACTGCATGAATATCTACCTCCATCAATCCCACCTCATTGCTTTCGGACTAAATTGTTTCACAAGGGAGGAGAAGAGGAAGAAGAGTGAAAATCAACTCTTTTTTTTTTTTTTTGAGACAGAGTCTCGCTCTGTCGCCCAGGCTGAAGTGCAGTGGCAGTGGCGCGATCTCGGCTGACTGCAACCTCCACCTCCAGGGTTCAAGTGATTCTCCTGTCTCAGCCTCCCGAGTAGCTGGGAAAACAGGCATACACCACCACGCCTAGCTAATTTTTGTATTTTAGTAGAGACAGGGTTTCACCAAGTTGGCCAAGCTGGTCTCGAACTCCTGACCTCTAGTGATCCGCCCGCCTCGGCCTCCCAAAGTGCTGGAATTACAGGCCTGAGCCACCACACCCAGCTGAAAATCAATTCTTTAAAATTCTTAGATATGGCATGCCATAACAACAATGTGCAAGGAAAATTGCGCTCTTTCTACATTGCCTGATGATGTACCAGAAATTGATAAATCAGCAATAATGGGCTGGGCACAGTAGCTGGAACTCGGGAGGTGGAGTTTGCAGTGAGCCGAGATTGTCCCACTGCATTCCAGTCTGGGCAGCAGAACAAGGTTCCGTCTGAAGGAAAAAAAAAAAAATAGCAATAATAAATTTTTAAATTTAAGGAAAAAAAAAAACTACTAGAGAGACTATTAAAACCAGCAGTTTAATTCTCTAAAATGTGAACCGTATTATCATTCTGTCCTTTCCCACTTTCTTCCTTCAGCACCTATGACAGTGTTTTGCAAGGTACCTGAAATATAATAGAACTTAATAAATCTTTCTGAATGAATAATGAATAGCAGGTATGAAAACACCCAGTGAATTAATAACTTGTTAAATAACGTAGATATCAACAGTATCTGCTTACCTGTTTCCATACAAGTCAAAAACATAAATATTTCCTTGGTGGTCCCCAGCAATTAAGCAGTCGCCTGTGCCATCAAAAGCCACATTCAAAAATCGCAAAACTTTTGGATGGTAATCGGAAGTGTTGTGAATGATGTTCACTATAATTCTGTCAAAGAAAAAAACCCAAACACTGAAATTCTATATCACGTATTACTTGATATTATGAAAAATATGGCAAATAAAGCATTTTGTCTGTTCATTCTTCCCTCTCCTACTGCTACCGCTATACTGCCTCTCCTCTAGAATCACTTACCAGGATTTCAGAAAAACAGTTCAGAAGCTACTCATTGGCAAAGCAGCTACTGTTCATTTATTCATCAATTACTTGAAAACTCATTGTGTCAGATGCAGAACAAGGCAGGTGCTAAGAATAATTGATATGCTCCCTGCTTCCATGGCACTTACAGTTTAGTAGTAAGGACAGACATTAAAAAAATAAACACACATATAAACAGATTTATAAACGGTGATTAAGTGATACACAACAACAGGGTATGAGATTTTGTTTTTGTGTATGGAATGTTTCACAGTGAATTCAGTGCACATGAGTTTTACTTTCATTTCTAATGTATCTACCATGAATACCCTGGCAGGCGAGTTCTGTAAGGACAGGACCACTGCTTGCTCATTACTGTACCCCAGCACCTGGTCTACAATACACAAAAGACACTCAAAATATGCCTGCTGAATGAACAAATACTTTAAGAAATCATTCTTTAAAACCCATGTTAATCATACTTCTATATAAAAAAGTAAGGGAGTTTATATTATAGAGACACATATGGAATGATTAAACTGTTAAATGAAAATGAAAATATTCTAACCTGAAGTTTTAAACGCTGACACATACACACACACACACACACACACACACACACACACACAAGAAGAAAAAATAAATGAGAAAAATCAAAACCAAACACGTCTCTACAAAAATCACAAAAAATTAGCCAGGCATGGTGCATGTGCCTGTGATCCCAGCTACTCAAGAGGCTGAGGTGGCATTATCACCAGAGCCTGGGGAGGTCAAGGCTGCAGTGAGCCGTGATCATGCCACTGCACTCCCGCCTGGGTGACATGTAAGACCCTGTCTCCAAAGGAAAAGAAAAACCTACATATACGGAAAAAAAGATGAACACAGTCAAATATTAATAGCAGCTATCTGCAGGTAATAGCAATACGGTTAATTTTTTTCCCCTTTCTACTTTTCTATATTTTAGACATGTTCTTTAATGATTACATACTATTTTCATAACAGGAAAGACAAGAATACACAGCTATATTTGTTTAAATTTACCCTTTTTTGAGAGAAGGATCATATACCCTGTTGTTGAAAGAAAACTTCATAAAATTAACTTACAGCACAAAATAACTCCTTAAAATAATATGTGTGTATATTGTGGTCACAAAGGCCAGAATAATCCCATTCTTTATTGCAACAATAGTTTTTAATCATGAAAATTTTATCTTAATTGATTTTTCATAAATTTCTGGATTTTGTTTTTGTTTTTTTTTTGAGACGGAGTCTCACTCTGTCACAGAGGCTGGTGTGCAGTGGTGCAATCTCAGCTCACTGCAACCTCCACCTCCTGGGTTCAAGTGATTCTCCTGCCTCAGCCTCCTGAGTAGCTGGGATTACAGGTGCCTGCTACCATGCCCAGCTAATTTTTTGTATTTTTAGTAGAAACGGGGTTTCACCATGTTGGCCAGGCTGGTCTCGAACTCCTGACTTTGTGATCTGCCCATTTTGGCTTCCCAAAGTGCCAGAATAACAGGCATAAGCCACCGCACCTTGCCTAGCTTTTGGATTTTATATTAGAAACATCTATCTTCATTAAAACTTGATTAAAGCATGCTATATTGAATTAAGTGGATTAAACATTTTCTTCATGTTTATCTAAACATAAGGCTTTTTAGATTCGTTAAAGGAAACAGTAAAATTCTGAACAATGCTTATTTGTATCTAGTCCCCAAGGAATTAAAAACACAACAATAAATGTACAGAAATGACAAACAATATCAAAATGTTTCATGGCAACTAAACTCAGAGCAAACAACTTTTTCCTCCCATCTTACTTTCTATAACACTTATTACATGTTCTGGCTACAAAATTACATAATCATTGTTCAAAATATGAAAGATACAGAAATACACTAAGAAACAAATATCCAATTATAATCCTACGTTGTAAATGTAATCACAATAGTGACATTCAGCCCCTCCGATTTTTCATATAAATCCCACATAAAATATTTATTTTAGAGCAACTTACTTTCAGATTCCCACAGATTGCCTAACAGAGTTCCTCAGTTCTCAAACATAAGAAGAATATCAAATATTTACTAAGCACCAAATGTGTAAGGCAACCTGTCTGCTAAATCCGATTATCCCCACTGACAGCCTTAGCGATTAACTTGCCCAAGGTCACAGAGTTGGTAAACGGACATTTACTTCAACGAAATACATCTGACTCCAAGTCAGTGCTCTCTGCCTGTCTAAACAGCATGAACAATGGGTTTTAACGGACACAAAAATAAGCTATGTTTTAGAGGAAAAAGCAAACAAGACATTTCGATAATCAACCCATTTCTTTCACTTTTTGAATCTTGCACATATATCTAGATATTCTGTACGAGCAAGAAAGAGAAAGGTGAGTTGGCTATAACTTTTAGAATGTTTAGAGAATACCAGAGGTGGGAGTGGTATTTACACAAACTCAAAATTTGAAATGAAAAACCTAAGGAATCCCCACTTTAGACAAAATTTTTTATTCAATGTAGTTGAGACAGCGGCATTGATAAAGTGGCCTGACAGTAACCAGGAACCAAACAAGCTGCTGGTAAAACGTTGCACTTTGGATATACGTAGTAGGCACTTAAAACTGATTTGTCGGCCGGGCGCGCCTGTAATCCCAGCACTTCGGGAGGCCGAGGTGGGTGGATCACGACGTCAGGAGATCGAGACCATCCTGGCTAACACGTCTCTACTACAAATACAAAAAATTAGCTGGGAGCGGGGCGCCTGTAATCCCAGCTACTCGGGAGGCTGAGGCAGGAGAATCGCTTGAACCCGGGAGGCGGAGGTTGCAGTGAGCGGAGATCGCGCCACTGCACCCAAGCCTGGGCGACAGAGCAAGACTCTGTCTCAAGAAAAAAAAAAAAAAAGTCTGATTTGTCAAGAAGTAACCAAAGGATCAACAGAAAAATCACTAGAGGCCAGGCGCGGTGGCTAATGACTGTAATCCCTACACTTACGGGAGACTGAGACAGGTGGATCACCTGAGGCCAGGAGTTGGAGAACAGCCTGGCCAACATGGTGAAATCCCGTCTCTACTAAAAATAAAAAAATTAGCCGGGCGTAGTGGCGCGCGCCGGTAATCCCCGCTACTTGGGAGGCTGAGGCAAGAGAATCGCTTTAACTCGGGAGGTGGAGGTTGCAGTGAGCCCAGATCGCGCCACTGCACTCCAGCCTGGGCGACAGAGCAAGGCTCCATCTCAGAGAAAAGAAAAATCACTACTAGAACAAGAAACACACTGAAACAGGAACTCCAGCGATTTCCATGAAATCCTAGGGAATTAGAAGCAATAAGACCACTCTGCGTGCAGAAATCGAAATCCAAATGGCACCGCTTTGTAGCAAAGGCTTCCACGGAAATTACACAAGATAGGCTTAGCCTCAAACAGGACAGGTAATTGGGAACAGAATGAAAAGTAGCGCTGGCCGTACTAGAAGCCCCCCAGCAATGCATAATGAACGCCCCTGCCCCTACATACACGCCAATACGTAAACTCCAGAGAACCGGAAGTGTGTTTTGTTCCTTCGCCCTCCCCAGCACTTAGAGGCGTGTTTGGCACAAAGTAGGCGCTCAACAAATTGATGAATGCTTGTGCGTCTAAACACATCCAAGGATTTAAGGATGGATAAACTGCAGCCTTTGGAAGAGGCAGAATTGTCCTGCTCTTCCAGCCTGCATCTCCCCCAGGAGTTCTGCTCCAGCTGCAACTGTTAAATACTCACTGAACACCTACTACGTGCCAGGGACACTAGCGGGATACCGTGATCATTAAAGCAGGAGAGTCCCGGCACACACCAAAAGCCTCAAGTTCCCAGGTCTGAGAACCACCTGCCTCCTCCTGTCCCGGACCAGACCCCCGCTCCCAGAACTCAGACGGGGGTCTCTGCGGACCCTGGCGTCCGGAGCCACCTGTTCCACCGCAGGTCATCCAATCCAAGGATGTGGGGCAAGGTCAGAGCCAGAACTCGGACCGCTACCTGACGCCCGGCGTACCCTCCTCGCCGGTCTCCGTCCCCTCCACAGCCCGCGCCCTCCCGCCACGGCCTTTACCCGTCCCGCGTGGCCGGGGACGGCTTGCGGTGCCATATCTTGCCGCTCTCCTTGTTGCCTAGGTCAGTGCTCTGCATGGCGAAGGTCGCCCACGACCGCCGGCGGCCCGCTGGGTAACCGTCCCGGTGCCTTCCCGGCAGGCCCAGCGCTCCCGGCCCGGGAAATTTGAGCGCCGGCCACGGCGGCCTGGATACTGCATCCGCCGGCCGTACCAACCCCCTTTCTAATAACAACCAATCGGGTGGCGGATCCCTCCCACCAACCTCCGCCCAAGCGGCCACTCCCTCTCTGGACAATGGAATCGACCAAAGACCGTCTCTTAGACTCCGCCTCTTTCTGAGCTCAGTCTCCCCGCCCCCGGACCTAAAGCCTTCTGGGAATCGTAGTTTTCTGCAGGTGGATCATAGACGCGAGGAATTGGCTTGGGAATTCTGCCCTTTGGGACCCTCGTGGGGTTTTAGACTCCCATCAGAGGCAATAAAAGTGATTTTCTCCTGTGGTCTCTGTATTCCGTTATAAATTGCTTTTAGAGATTAAGGAATTGTATAGAAATAACTAAGAGAAGCAAGGAGACAAATGCAGAGAAGGAGACAAATACATTGAGAACTGATGGGTTCCTTTTATAGAACGTTCGGGCTCAAACTTACAGATGAAATAGTCCATTCTTCTTGACCTTTTCACCATGCTCATGGTTTTGTTTTGTATCTTCAGTTCCGTAATCTGACAGGACCTTCCGGCATTGTGATGTCCAGTCCACCAATCACGGTCCGGGAAAGCAATAATAACAACTGGCTGCCTTGACTTTAGTGTTCCTTTGATAAAAATTCACCTAGTGCCTCCGGAGTGTTTACTAGGTATGGGGCACTTTTCTACTTGCTTTCCGAATATATCAACTCAATTAATCCTTGTAGCAAATGTACAAGTTAGGTAGTACTAATTATCTCCATTTTTAGTGCTCTGTGAGGTTGTGCATTAATTTCCTGAGGCTGCCCTCATAAATTACCACAAACTTGGTGATATAAAAAACAGAAATGTATTCTTCGGAAGTTCTTGAGGCCATACATCGGAAATCAAAGTGTCTGCAGCCTCCTTTCAGGCTCTAAGCAAGATTCCCTGACTTGTCTATTCCAGTTTCTGGGGGTTGCTGGCTTTCTTGACTTGTGATCGCAAGGCTCCATTCTCTGCTTCCATCTTCACACATCTTTCTCTTCCAGGATGTATCTTTTTCTCTTCTGTCTGTTTAGAATCTCCCTCTGTTTTTCTCTTATAAGGAAACTTGCCATTGGGTCCATGTGAATAATACAGGATGATCTCTTCATCTCAAAATCCTTACCTTGATTACATCTGCAAAGACCCTTTTTCCAAATGCGGTAACAGTCACAGATTTTGGGATTAGTATGTGGACATATATTTTGGGGGACCACCAATCCACCTATTACAGGTGAGTACTAATATTATCCACTTTTGCAGACAAGGAAACCTTAAGTCTTTCCATTCCTAGTCTCTGTGTTATTCCACAACAGAAAAGTGACATTAAAAAAATTATATGGTCGTGGTATTTGCAAAGTTCAAACTCTTGATCAGAAAAGCAAATTCTCAGAAAAAAAAACTAATGCAGATTTTTAAGCTTTATATTGTTATCAACGGGTATATATGGATACATACACACACACGTATACATTTACAACACTAATTGGTAGTTTCTTATGTTCTAGTTCCTTTCTGAATCATTAGTCACTCAGTAACAAGTACATACTGTTTATATGTACATATATGCACACATATATGTATATATGTTATATAATACATATATAAAGGTATATATGTATAAAGGTATATAGTATAACTATATACCTATAATATATATAAGGTATACTATACACCTATAATATACATATATGGTATACTATATACCTATACTATATACCTTTATGTATAAAGGTATACTATATACCTATTTACATATAAATATACCTTTAGTATACAGTATACTTTTATATAGTATAGAGGTGTGCTATTTATATGTACTTTTATATGTATTTATAAAGGTACGTAGTTTGGACCTTTACATGTTTTCCTTTTTTCTTTTTTTTTTTTGAGGTGGAGTCTTGCTCTGCTGCCCAGGGTGGAGTGCAATGGTGCAATCTCAGCTCACTGCAACCTCCGCCTCCTGGGTTCAAGCGATTCTCCTGCTTCAGTCTCCTAAGTAGCGGGGATTACAGACTTGTAACCCCCACTCTGCCCAGCTAATTTTTGTATTTTTTTTTCTTAGTAGAGATGGTGTTTCACCATGTTGACCAGGCTGGTCTTGAAATCCTGACCTCAGGTGATCCACCCACCTTGGCCTCCCAAAGTGCTGGGATTACAAGTGTGAGCCACTCCACCTAGCCTATATGTATTTATGTGTGTGTGTTTGTGTGTGTGTATATATATGTATACACACACATATATATGCCTGACGCCCGGCGTCCCCTCCTCGCCGGTCTCCATCCCCTCCACAGCCCGCGCCCTCCCACCACAGCGTTTACCTGTCCCATGTGGGCGGGGACAGCTTGCGGTGCCATATCTTGCCGCTCTCCTTGTTGCCTGGGTCAGTGTTCTGCATGGCGAAGCTCGCCCACGACCGCCACGACTTTATATATATACACACACACAAATATGTACCTTTTTATGTATATACGTACATATAAATAGTATGTACTATATAAATGGTATATACATATATAAACAGAATGTATATATATACATATATGTATATATATTGCATATACACATATGTACCTGTTATTGAGTGACTTAACGACTCAGAAAGGAATTAGAGCAGAAGGGACTACCAATTAGTGTTCCAAGTGTATACATATAAACAGTTTTACTGAGAAATAATTGGCATTCAATAAACTTTACATATTTAAAGTGTACAATTTTATAAGTTTTTAGATAGCTAACCCCCCCCATGAAATCATCACCATAATCAAGATAATGAAAACATCCATCATCCCTAAAAGTTTCCTCATTTCTCTTTGTAATCTTTGTACTCCCACCCCACTGTGCCTGTAAGCAACCACCGATCTGTTTTCCTTTCTTTAGTTAACATTTTCTAGAAATTTATATAAATGGATTCACAGACTATGTGTATGTATTGTACTTTGGTGTCTTTCCTGTTTTTGTTGGTCTGGGTTCTTTCATTCATCATAAATTTGAGATTTTGAGATTCAATTGTGTTTTTGTATGTATCAATAGTTCATTCTTTTTTATGGCATCAATTGATATGGTTTGAGTTTTTGTCCCCATCCAAATCTCATCATGAATTGTAATCCCCATGTGTCAAGGGTGGGACCAGGTGGGAGGTGACTGGATGGATCCGAGGGGGAGTTTCCCCCATGCTGTTCTCATGATAGTGAGTGAGTTCTCATAAGATCTGATGGTTTTACAAGGGACTCTATCCCCTTTACTTGACACTCTCTCGCCTGCTGCCATGTAAGATGTGCCTCTTCCCCTTCTGCCATGATTATAAATTTCCTGAGGCCTCTCCAGCCCTGTGGAACTGTGAGTCAAATAAACCTCTTTTCTTTATAAATCACCAACTCTCGGGTATGTCTTTAAAGCAGTGTGAAAATGGACTAATACATCAATATACCACAATTTTTTTTTTTGAGACAGGATCTCATTCTGTTGCTCAGACAGGAGTGCAGTGGCGTGACCATGACTCACTGCAGCCTTGACCTTCCAGGCTCAAGGGATCCTCCCACCTCAGCCTCCTGAGTAGCTGAGACTACAGGTGTCATGCCTGGCTAATCTTTTGTATTTTTTGTAGAGACAGGGTCTCACTGTGTTGCCCAGGCTGGTCTTAAACACCTGAGCTCAAGTGATCCACCAACCTCAGCCTCCCAAAGTGCTGGGATTACAGGTGTGTGCCACCATGCCTGGTCCAATATACAACAATTTGTTTATCCATCCACCTGATCTAGCTGGTGATGAACACTGGAGTTGTTTCCAGTTTTTGGCTATTCCGAATAACAGCGCCGTGAACGTTCTTATACTAGTCTTAGTATGAGCACGTGCTTTCACTTGTCTTGGGTAAACCCTAGAAGTGGAATAGTTGGGTCATATAGTAGGAGTAGGTTTAACTTTTTAAGAAACTGTCAAGCATTTACACAGTAGTTGTGCCATTTTACATTCCCACCAACAGTATGAGAGAGTTCCAGATGTCCACCAATAGTATGAGAGAGTTCCAGGTGCTCCACATCTATGATGAATCTGTAATTTTAGCCATTCCATATCATAGTGGTATCTCATGATTTCCATTTCTGAAATGACAAATGACATTCGACATCTTTTCACGGGATTATCTGCCTTCTGCATACATCCTTGGTGAAGTATTTGTTCATATCTTTTGCCTTGTTTTTAATTGTTTTGTTTTTATTAAACTTATTAAAGAAAACTTATTATTCAATTTTCATAATTCTTTATATATTTTTGGATACAAACTTTTTATTCTGTATATGTTTCACAAATATTTTCTCTCAGTCTATGGCCTTTTTTTCCATTCTCTTAACAGTATCTATCAAAAAGCAGAAGTTATTAATGTCTGTGAAGATCAATCCATCTTTTCTTTCATGGATTGTACTTTTGGTGTCATAGCTAAGAAATATTTTCCCAAACCAAGGTCATAAAGATTTCTTCCTTTGTTTTTTTCTTTGTATTTCAAATATATTCTTAAAAGAATGGAAAGTCGTGTGTGTCTAAGGGTATTTTAGATTTTGCTTTGCAAAGCCCTTTCTCCTTGTGCTCTCACACATTACACTTTCACAGTTGAAGGATGTCTTTCTTTTTGCGATGATAATATATAATTTGGACAGAAAAAGAGTACTTCTAATTTCTTTGCTAGAGGGAGCTTGGTGGACATATAGATTGCCCAACATCTGAATACCCTTTTGGTTTGGGAAAAGTGTCAAGATATTTGGAAGTAAAGAAGTGAAACTATTCTCTTTCCCAGCTCTTTGGTAACTATATTGATAACTCTCAAAAAACCTAGGCCAGTCAACAGGTTAGCAAGCAAATTAAAGTAGTACAGTAACAAAAATAATTATCCCAACACTGTGAGGTCAAGGCAGGCAGATCACTTGAGTCAGGAGTTCGAGACCAGCCTGGTCAACATGGTGAAACCCCATCTCTACTAAAAATACAAAATTTAGCCAGGTGTGG